GGGGCAGGATCGAGACCATCGCTGTCAAAGCCTCCCACTAAAGAGGGATTGGCACTGGAATGATAGCTTGGTGGTAGTCCGCTGTTTGGGGGAGCGAACATCTTCGTTAAGGGGAAGTCTTCGTCATGTGGTACGAATCTTGGTGATGAATCGCTTGATGCGTCTATTTGCTTCCGGTGAGAGCTTTCTTCTGGGGCTATTATTGCGGGAATAGCTACTTGTGTCGCCGTCAACGCTCTTGGAACGTCTATGGAGCGCTCTGGAGTTTCTTCAACAAGAAAGTGTGCAGTCAATAAATGAGACGTCGCAGGGGTTGAAGTAAGACGAGACGCGAACTTCGTGTGCGACTTTGGAGAAGGAGAGTCGGATCTAAGAGACGAGGTGGTATGGCTCTCTTCCGTGGTGTTGTCTAGCCGTCCTCCGCGCGGTGAAGGAGACCTTCGAGAGGGGGGCATGGATGTGTTTGATTCGGACTCTGACGAACTGTTTGTTGTTTGCGGATCGTGTTGAAATGCTCCAGTGAATCTTCCCTTCAACGATCGAAACATGCTGAAAGGGCGGCAAGCTTGCTGGGATGTCCCTGCTGACTGCTTGGAGTTCAACTCGGACCTTCAACCTTGCATCGCCGTCCGAGCATAGAGCTGATGCAGAAAGGCCACGAGAGAACGTGTTCGCAGTGCGGCTGGACAGTTCAAGAGCTGGGTACCTACCAGCGCAGACAGAGTGACCACAAAAGTAAAGGGTGAGTAACAGAGGCTGGTCACAGAACCTTTTTCAGACGAACGTTGGATGGCGACTCTAACGGCGATGTGTCTTCAGAGACGAAATCGGGACGCGGAATATAGGCTCAATGGCCTATGATCATACGTCTTGTGGCTGCTAAGAGAAGTGTAATGCGGTGCTCGCGATTTTCCAGGCTGTATATGGTGTATCGCAGCTTGGCTCAATCTTGTGATGGCGTTCGGAATGAATGATGACGGCGGGCGCATGAGGCAACGAACTGGAAGCGCATCAGATGGGGCCGAACGAGGGGCGTTGGCGAACCTTGAAGGTGGAAGGAGTTCCAGATTAACGTCCAAGTGGTTCATGCCATGGTCAGACAGCTCCGAGGCGGACCTGCCTTGTATGTTTCTTCCACTTTGGGGATGCGATGTATGTCTATCGCAGGCAAGTACCACTGGAGGAGGCAGATGTACCTACCAGAGGTTCAGAGGTACCTGGGCGTCCCCCCACAGGTCGCCAGTACCCGCCCGCTAGCGCATGTCACTGCCCGTTGCCCGTCCCTAGCGGCAGCTGGCCACCTGTTAAGCCTTGCTCAACCCCGCCGAAGTCAATGGGCAGACTTCGTAACGATGGCGGCCGGTTTTTGGATACAAAGTTGATCAACCTGATAGTTCGCCTACTTGCCCAAGCCCAATTGAAAGACAGAGCAAACTTACATGCACTTGTCTTTCTTGAATCTCTTTGACTTGCCCCAGCCTCAGATCCAGAGGATAAACCGAGTGGTTGGATCTATGGGAAATTCGCTGTGCAACTCTTTTTGGGACACCTACACAAGGCTCCAAGAACCCTGTCAGCGAACATAAGCCTCACGAAAATGTCAATTATAATAGCCTCTTGTCCCCCATGTAGATTTGATACCTCGCGAGGGTTTTTCAATCACGCAGTGATACCTTATTCGATCTACACCACAAAAATGACCCATGGGAACCAATCCAGGGAATAATCAAGTCAACGCACTGCGCCTAGAGATCATGTACTTTGGCTGTCAGTAATATTTTCTACTCGGGTATATCAAACAAACTAGTTCCGTACCACCTTATATGCAATTCAAACGTGTTTCGGCAATCCTTTTACAGCAAATGTGCTTTAATAGCGATGCTAGTGTAGGTAGCGAACGGAGGATAATAGTGTGCGATACCCAGAGCTCCTAGCCTCCCCAACGGAAGTTTGTCCATCCACCGGCTTCCTGCCTCTCTCGGTCGCTCTTAGCATAGTAAAGGTGACTCAAAAGCGTACGATCCCCATTTTCCTGGAATCTGTCACGCTTTTCTTGCGGTCCCCACGCCACCAACATCTGTTGACGTCGCACAAGCTGAGGTTCCTTGATGACATCCTTGCGGCCAATCTGTCGCATGTATAGCGCCGGCGTGAGAGTGCAAACGTTGAGCAGGTGGTGATACAGCTCCTTCTTGGTAGGCCGCGGGTCAATCCTTGCCAAATTGAAAGCCTTGCGATTCAGGAGTATGTTCTTGCAGTCGAGGTCTTGCAAATTGTCGAGAAAGTCGGTTGACGTTTGCATTTCGCCGTCCCCGCCCCAAACTATGTATGGATTGATGTCGAAATAGAAATGGTTGGTGGAGACCTGAATCTTCTCATACAATTGCATCGCCGGCTTGATGCAGATCTGTTCAAAGCTTCTGTAAAATGCATCTATCTTATCTCTCCGGCAGAAGATTTTGAAAATGCTCGCGAGTTCGATCGTGAGCTCGCGCAATTTCTTTTCCCGGCAGCCCTTGAAGTCGCGGGAGCTCAAGATCGCATTGTAAGCTTCTGCCGTCCAGGTTCGTATTGCGAAGAGATCTGCAGCATGAGTCAGTACAGAAGTTCAAAGAGAATCATGCAAGAATATGCTCGTACCTCGCTTTGGGTCGACGTGATTCTGGAGCGCTGTTTCCACAAAGCTGAGAACTTCGACATAGTTGACGATGGAGCCATACATAACTTTTTGGAAAATGTTCTCGTTGATGAATCTCATAATGGTTGCAACAACAATGTCCTCGTCCGTTTCTGGAAAGACTGCGCCATGAACCAGGTCAGGATACTGGTGTATGACCTGCTTCAACTTGAGGGCATCGCTAGGCCTCCTGCGGGCAGCCGCCATTAGGTCCTCAACCCCCTTTTCATGGTCATCCAAATAGGGATCCATGAACTTGGAAACCCAATCACTGATACCCTCGATGAGATCATCGTATTCCTATCGGATTGTCAGACGACTTTCGCTGGGTATCTCGGCAGGTACTTACGCGCCCAACTTCTTCAGGAGTGAGCTCTTTGCGGTAGGGCTGAAGACTAAAGATGTGAGATTGGGCATCTCTGAGTTGTTCTTTCAAAGCCGCGTTCTCGGTGCTGAGCTCATTGATTTTTGAAGCAAGAGGTGCCGTGTCTTTCTCAATTTCTGTAATAGTCGAGTTTACGGTAGACTTGATCTCGCCTATCCTCCGCTCTGCTCGTTCTACCTTCTCCTCGGCAATCTCAGCTCGAGCCGTTGTTGACTTGAGCCTGTGGCGCAGTTCCATGATTCCACGACGTAGCAGAAAGTCGTCGCTGGCCTCTGCCTCGTCTTCGCCGTCGCGTGCATTGGGGAGAACGTCTTTTTCGGAAAATTCTCTCGATGGCGAGGAAATGTCAGCACCAATGTCGATCAGATCGCATTCGACAAAAGAAGATGATGTGACGGTCGAAGAAGGCGATAGATGATGACGAGGAGAACTGGACGTAGGATAATTGTTGAAACGAGTGGCAACGAGGCCTTTGGGTAGAGCTTGCCTTGGTCCGCTGCTTTGAGCCCCGTTCTCCGGAGCAGGCATCTCGACCTTGGTGAAGCCCATCGTCTCAGTGTTAGAAGTCGCGTATGGGCTGGCCGGCTCTGCTGTGGCAGTTGCTTGATTATTGGGGGCCTGACTGTAGGTAAGTCCCGAGTCGTCGAGGATTATGACACCAGCATCAACGTCGAGGTGTCTCTTGTCCGGGATGGGTGGTTTTTGGCCCTCGCGGTGCTGCGGAAGAGTCGGGTCTACCTGTCTGAGATTCTCCATTATGCCAAAGAGTGTTCCTTGAAGGTGGTAGCAATGGACAAGATGTTTGGATGAAAAGAGAGGTCCGAGTCTACCTGTGCATCAGAAGAATGGCCTAGATGCAGAAATGAGATGAGATGTTACCGAAGAAGAGGCCTGAGGGAAGCTGCACGGACAAAAAGAAGGAAGATTCCAGTGTCATGAGGAACCTACCGAAGGTCGAGTACTCAGGTAAAGCACCTTGGGTACCTGGAACTGCGGCCTGTCATGCTCGGCCCAGGACCAAAGGTCAAGGTCATACATCAGACCTCATTGTGTGATGAAATCCTGAGGCTGTCCAGAATGGGGATCCCGGAAGAACACCCTCGACCCTCTCGAACATTTTTGGCACTTGATTGAGCTTGTAGTCAGCTTCTCATGGGCTTGCCTTGGTACCAGTAGGGAACAAGGCAGCTTTCGGTGAAGGAGGACTGTTGCTGCATTGGAAGCTGCCTGCCCGCCCGAGTATCCCCGCCAAGTGGGGGCGAATAACGATGGGTGGGGCACTTCCAAATACGTACCTTTAAGGCTGACACTCTAGGTAGGTGGTTCTAAGAAGTACCGATCCACTCCATCAAAGTCACTTTCTTCAACAGGCATGCGGACCTTTGTCAAGGTAGTCCAGAAACAGCTCAACACGTTGGAGTGACGAAGGGGGTGAAAATGGGATGCCTTGGAACATCAGTGGCATAATACAGCCCGAAGGATGCCTCATGAAGGCGTCTGAGCTACGTGGCATGCCGGACGAGTTTCTCTCGGCGCTCAGACTTTCGACATGTCGATACGTCCAGACGTATCCGACAACTTAGAGCCTGCATGAGCTTAACGCATAAGGCAGTGATTCCTTCAGAGGGCTGATTATTTTATTTCAATGACTGATAGCTCTCGTTCAGGTGCAGTCTTAGACGTGCGTCGCTCTTTTGTCTGGCCTCAGATACCTCTGAAGTCTACCTACCTGAGATAGGTTGGTCGACCAGGGAAGGAGCTATAAGCACATCGGAGCTTCCTTCCTTCACCGTTTGCGCAACGCCCCTTCAAGGAAGTGAAGACGCAAAAGGCTCAGCCGGAGCCTCTTGCTGCCCTGCACCCTTGAACATCCACCCAAGCTTCATCAAGGCAGATTTCCTTTCGCCTGCTGACCTCTACGTACCCTGCCCAAGCACACCTTTGCATTAAGCTTGATGAGAACCAGCTTCTGACATCGCCCTCCTTCCTTCAACTTCAAGTTCCCCTCCTTACCTCTTTTCACTTCTTTCTACTACGACCAGGCTATTCTGAATAATCGAAATCTCTTACATTTTCGTCTCGGGCCTGTCAAACCTCTTCCGATACAGCTTCATTCGAGAAAAGACAGAGCTTCCTGCCTTCCGCTACATCGATCCCAAGACCTTGATCTGTTCTGGTGTTTGCCAGCTGATCATTGACTTGCATCTGCCCCCTGCATACATCCATACTTGTTATCGTTTTCTCGTCTTTTGATACCCTCTGCAACACGCGGCGCCAACACGACCCCCAGCTATGGACGCCTTTGACTTTGGGCAGCTGTCTGTCAGCGGGCGCAAGATCATTGTCGGTATCGACTTTGGTACCACTTATTCAGGAGTAGCGTGGGCTGAAACCCAACGTCCCGATCGACGAACTGCCATCACGACCTGGCCGATCAGCAAAACCATCCGCGAGGGTGAATCTTCGGACAAAGTTCCTACCAAGCTGCGATATGCCGGCGACGAGGTTCAATGGGGCTTTTCCATCCCCGTTACTGCGCCGCAAGATGAAGTTGTCGAGTGGTTCAAGCTGTGAGTGCTTTCAATCCTATATCGCCCTCTTTCTCGGCACACTGAGTGCGGAGGTCATAGGACACGACAGAGCTAATATTTCCCAGCGACCTAGACCCCTCTCTCCAAAGCATGGGTCAAGCGGTCTCCTCAGAGGCTCGAGGTGGTCGCAATGTCGACAAGCTTGTGACGGACTACATTTCTGCCCTAGGTGATCATCTCGTCTACACTCTGAAGGAGAAGCTCGGAGAGCAGGTTGTCAATACCACCCCGCTGGAATTTGTTGTCACAGTGCCTGCTATCTGGTCAGACCTCGCCAAGGATAAGACCAAGCAAGCCTGCCAAAAAGCTGCTGGTCTCAACACTGTTACCAACGCTGTTGCTCCCATTCATCTTGTCTCCGAGCCCGAGGCCGCTGCCATCTATGCATTGCATGGTCTAGACCCGCATGGGCTCAAGGTCGACGACACTGTAGTGGTTGTGGATGCTGGAGGAGGAACTGTGGACTTGATCTCGTACACGATTACCAGTCTCAAGCCCATTCTGGAGGTCCAAGAAGCCGCTCCAGGATCTGGCGCGCTGTGCGGCTCGACGTTCCTCAACATGCGCTTTGCCAAATTTCTTAAGGCTAAGCTGGGCAAGGAGGACGGATTTGATGACGAGATCATGGCCGAGGCTATGGAACAGTTCGAAAAGAAGGCAAGCTTATACCTTTAGTCATCCTTTGTCTTTCAAGGGTGCCTTGCTCGCAGCTCTTTGGCTAATAGTGCGCAGGTCAAGCGACAGTTCACGCTCGGTGCTGCTCCAGACGATACCTACACCATTCCAGTCGGTGGTCTGGCGAACAACAAAGAGCTAGGAATCAACCGCGGTCGTTTTGCCTTGAAGGCATCAGATCTCCAAACCATCTTCGAGCCCGTTGTTCTCGAGTGCATCAAGCTTGTCAAAGACCAGATTACAGCAAGCAACGTGCCAATTCGTGCCATTCTCCTTGTCGGCGGTTTTGGCGCATCCAATTATCTCAAGGAGCGTTTGCGTAACGCTATCGATAAGAGCATCCAGATCATGCAGCCACCCAATGCTTGGCAGGCAGTTGTCCAAGGCGCCGTCATGAAGGGTCTAGCTCAAGTATCTCCCGACAAGCTTACGCAGGTCAAGGTGCAGAATCGCAAGGCTAGGAAGCACTATGGCACCGAGTGGCGAAGCAAGTACGATGCCAAGCTTCACAAGCATCTCGAACAGAAACGACACTGGTGTGGCCTAGATGGGTGCTACAAAGTGTACACCATGGAATGGTTCATCCAACGCGGCGATAACGTCTCCGAAAACGAACCATTCTACACGTCATTCGTCTGGACCGGTCTAGTCAGCCAGGGTCGTATCAAGAAGATCAAGATGGATATCTACGCAGATCGCAACCAGAGGATTGCGCCTGTTGCTCGGGATGAAAATGTTGCGATGCTCGTCCATGTCGAGGCTGATGTCGGACACATCCCTGAGCACATGCTTTCCCGCCGCCAGGGGCTTGATGGCCAATGGTACTACGAGCTGAACTGTAAGATCGAAGCCGTTTATCTTTCGGCCTCGACCACGTACACATTGCTCTACAACAGTGAGTTTCCCTTTGACTAGGCATCTTGACATGGACACTAACCCTTTCCAGATCAACGGTACAACACAGTGACGGCAGAATATGTTTGAGATCGTTATGCTTTGGCTGCAGACGTATGTATTTGGGAGTGCGCCTTCGATCTGGATACGCGAGGACTTTGCCGCAGGAGATTGGCGAGCACATATGAAGAGGTAATAGTGTACATAATACAAATATTACGTGACGTTTTTATTCCAGAAAACTCGCTCCCATGAACGAAAAGTTACGAGTAAATTTCGGAGTCGAAGTCATATCGGGTGTTATTGCCTGCCCATATAAACACTGGTATCTGGATTAGTACTTCCTCGATTGGTAAATACTATGATTCAAATACTTTGCTCGTTACCTAGACTCTAATCGATTTCGCTCGATCAGTAGCGACTTTGCTGCGAACATGATCGCAAAAGAGCTCCAGGTAACGCTGTACCCCGAAAGGGAATGGCTCAATACTACCTTAGTCGTGTGCCGATGCGGCCGGGAGACGTTATCAGTGGCCGAGATAGAGGAGTCAGACCCCTGCACAAAATCTGATCGAGGCCAAATCTCATAACAATTGAGACCTCACCCCTGGCGCGACTTTGACTCCTTTTCTCATCATATAAACAACTTCATGGTCGTAGGAAAGGAACCACACGGCAACACAACTCCAATCATCAACAACATCACCGCGCTGTTCGTAACCCCAGGTAACCCCTACAATCACGATGCAAATCAGATCTGACCCTGAACAGGTTGAAGTTAGAGGCGACGACGCCCACCGCAACGATGGCGACGAGCACACCGTCGCGGGCTGGCTCACTGTGGCCGGCTCGTTCCTTGTCTATTTCGTGTCTTTTGGCTACATGAATAGCTTTGGGTACTTCCAAGACTACTACCTCGGCCATAGTCTGGCTGGGTACCCGAGCTCGGTCATCGCGATCATCGGGTCCCTCCAGCTCGGCCTCATGAACCTCATCCAGCCTGTCGCCGGTGGTCTCGCCGATTCGTACAGCCCGAGCATTCTCTACGCTGTCGCGGCTGTCGGCGCGATTGTATCGAGTATCGGCGTCTCATTCGCCCAGCCGGGCCACATTTGGCAGTTCATCCTCACTCAAGTAGGTGTCGTGACTAGTGCCCGACTTATCGAGATTGATCTAACGTCAACAACAGGGCATCATCTTTGGATCAACCGCTGTGTTCGGTACAGCGGTCTCCTTGCCTCTCGCTAGCCAGCACTTTACGAGAAGACGCGCATTAGCCATTGGCATTGTCGCTAGCGGGAGCAGCGCAGGAGGAGTCTGTCTCCCCATCATGTTCTCTCGTCTTGTGCCACGTATCGGCTTCGGTTGGGCTTTGCGAGTTGCTGCGCTGATTGCTCTAGTATGCTATGGGGTCGCTATACTCATCTCGCGACCCAAGTTGCCACGCAAGCCTGTCAAATCCATTTGGTCTATTGTGGACTTCAATGGCTTCCGCGACGCACGATACTCTACGCTGGCGCTTGCTAATGTGGTTGGTAACTTTGGGCTTTACGTACCATTCTACTACTTAGGTATGTGCTCATTTACGCTTGGACAGCCTGACTCTACGTGGCTTCGTGTTGTGTAAACTCGAGGCAGACATCAACTGTGCCGTTACAAGGTTGCAGGCTGTCGATCCAGAACACGATGTCCCTGCTGAATGCCTTTTGACCGCGGGCTTCCATAGGGACGATGCCCTCATTGAATACAGCTGATCTCTTCATCAGAGCCGTACATCGCGGTTCACCACCCGGGAGCCGCGGTGAGGAACTACATTCTCCCGCTTATCAACGGATCAAGCTTCTTCGGCCGAGTGATGTAAGTTATTGAGTCTTCCAATGTCCCATCATAAGTTCCACACTGATGCATCCTAGCGGTGGATACGTAGCCGATCATACTGGTGGATTAAATCTCCTCTATCCACTGACGGCAATTTCGGGTATACTCTGCCTTACCTTGTGGCTTTTATCCACCAGCGTCAGCATGATTATAGCTTTTGCCTGTTTATACGGTATGTTCTTCTCATTAAGTATGCATGCATCAAGCTTGCGGGGTTTCGAGTCGGCTAAGTCATCAACATGCAGGCTTCTGCTCGGGAATATTTATCAGCGTCACACCTTCCGTGACCGTCAGACTGTCTCCGAAAGATAAGGTCGGTGCCCGCCTAGGTGCATTTTCCATTTGGAGTGCAATCGGAGTGTTCACCGGCACGCCCATAGGTGGCGCTTTCGTCCGGCGAGGAACTCCGGAAGAGTATCAGCACCTGATCATCTTTACCGGCATTTGCCTCACTGCCTCTGCCGTCCTTCAATTTGCGACGCGCATCCTCTGTGATAGAGATCTACGCAAGACGTGGTAAAAATCTTCTGCTACCGGACAACAAGGCCATACACCACGAGGTTGGCTTGCCTTGCGGTCCGGCAGCGAGCCGGCAAGCGAAGTTGGGGGCTGATTTTGTTAGAAAAGATCAGGGCAGGGGGGGATATGGGGAACGGTGGAGTGCAAGAGAATGTAGTCGAGGAGGATCTGCGCCAGGTAGCGAGTTAGTGATTGAGAGGCGGTCTATGATGTTGGGAGAAATCGGCATGGGTTCGAAATGTTGAGTTGATCTATGGCCATGTTCGAGCCTTGGCTTCTATGTTTATTGCTTGAGGTGGAGCGCTACGGTGGTGGCATCCGCGTCGGTCGGCGGGACTTCATGGGATCATCCGACGTAGATATAAATCCAGACCATCTGAACCATCTATATAGTCTGCATAAGGTCCTTAGGCACAATTGAAACACGGATACCATATGTGGTTTCTAGCTTCCAGCCCAGAGTCAACTGAATTGTGGTAGACATGATCCCGGTCGATGTTACTTCAAATATGGAGGCCCATGCTTTAATGGTTGTATGGATGCACTTCCGCTGCTTCTTGGCAGCCAAGAAATAGTCCAGCCTCCTCAACTACACCTCAAGAAAGTACGAAGAAAAAAGGGTTGTATCGTCAATAAGAATCACATCGATGAACTACTACCTGGACGAAGATGTATGGATAATTTTGATTGAATAACATCAAATTGCCGCATCACAGTACCGGTCGGAGAGCGTCCGAAATGAGATGGCTCTCTATGAAAAGAGCATAAGGTAGTAGGTAACCGCACTAAGGCAAATAATATGAGGCACAAGTCAAGTATCTACGTCATGAAAAAAACAAGCAGAAAGAAGTTTGGGACGTTTCTATTCTTCTATTAGATGCGCTGATCTATATTTGTTGAGTGGAATAATCTCCTGCGCCACTCTGAAGCAATGCTCGGTAGATTGGACATTTCATCATCAAGATCCCAGACGTCCAGCCTCGAGGTAAACTGGCAATTATGAGGTGAATGAAGGCTTCGTCCCATGAGTTTCATGTTTACAAACTGCGGCTAGTCAAACTCTACGCACACTGCCCGGCTCTAGCAAGAACTGCAAAGCGGTCACAGAATCGGCGTTTGGGTCTCGGAAGAAGGCCACCATATTCCCCGGATAGCCGAGACTCATCTGTCTGCCGCTGTGCGACTACTTTGTGGCTGCCACATGAGTTGTGGATAGGAGTCAAAAACTTTTCTTTTCAACGTGGGAACCCTGGTCAACCCGGTGCTTTCCACACTTGTTGGTTCACATGAATCCCGTTCACAGTCCAAATTCTTGACGATCGCTCATATTTCTGCTGTGGCCTGAGGGACTATTCCACTTAATAGAGAAAGCAGAATGAGGCAACTCGCATAGTGAGGTGGTAATCCGTCTCCATGCTGCCGCCATTCAGGGAAAATCACTGCAGCCTTTGTGATATCTGACATGTTGGACGTAAACCTCTCGAGCGGTCAAAAGCAGTTGTGGAACTTGACCTCATTAGCCTCCGGGTAATCTCTCGGGGGATATCTGTTCTGCTCGGCGCTTACAGCTGGAGAATTATCGTTTGTCACCGGTCCCATCTGAATCTCAATTGCGTTCCACCTTACTCAAGCTCTGCTCAGGTAATCTGCGTGGACCTAGCCTGCAAGAATGTGTAAACATTCAGAGAACAAGTAATGCGGTAAACACAACGGGTCAGGTGGTGGCATGCGCTCAGAAAGACTTTGCAAACAAAGGTATCAGTAATGAGCCAAGAAACAATCTGAAAGTTGGGTTTTGAGGCGAACTCATCAAATCATTGAGTAAAAGCAAAGCGGACTTCAAAGAGGGGGGGAAATGGAGTCGTGCTTTCGCCCGCTAATGAGTGTGGGCAGAATGAGGTTTATTATCGCGAAATGGAAGCACCTTTTGAAAAGTCAGTTTTATTGCTGCTATGCGTGATAAGAAACCTGCATAGCATCTGGCCACTGCGTTCTTTCGGTCCGTGAGACTTTCTGTGCTATGGAGCTGACTTGCAGACTAGCAAGCTGGCGTTGAACTCTGTTAGATGCGCAGCGCACGAGGCACATTTCGCAACGTGTCCGGGTATGATGTAAGAATAATTCCACTTTCACAAGAAAAATGTGACAGAAGCAAACAAGTGAAGACGGAAGGTTATCGAGTTGGAAGGCACGAACCTGGGGAAGCTTAGGTTTCGTCGTTGCGCGAACGCCTATAGCCACCATCTATATCAAGCGAATGAAGGTTTTCGGCAAACCCTCGTTGAGGCTCCTTCCGAACTTCCCACACACCACCCCACAGCTCTAGCAGATATACTATATTCGAGACAAGCTTATTTGAGTAGTCCTTCTAGACGCAATCTCTGTGAGTGAGAGCTCAATATGACGCCGGTATTTTGTTCCCAGGAAAAGAAATGTTCTTCGGGTGTCCAACGATGGCGATCCTTGCCGGCGTTTGCCCCAAGTTTAGGTAGCTGTCCTATGTCTGACTGACTCGGCCGGCGGTCACCCCTGTGCTTGATATGTCACGGTGAACACAAGCTTTGATTGACAGTCTTGGCAGAGCCCTGCTGAGAAGGCCTTCATTCGAGATATAAATCAACCAGTTCCCACGGCCTTGGCACTGGCTGAGATATCTCTCGAACTATCACCAGAAGATCTTCTACTCTGATCATTACCATCCTTTGAGCTTTGGCTCGTCCATTCTTTTTCCGTTTACTCACTCGTACTTATCGCCCTAGGGCACTCCGACATAACAAACTACTTCACAACAAACATTTTTGCTTTCAAACATGGTTTCTTTCTTCGCTCTCGCTGGCCTGGCTGCCACCGCCCTGGCTGCGCCTGTTAGCCAGTCTGGCTGCACTTTCACCGACGCCAACGCCGCCATGAAGGGCAAGGCTGGCTGCTCGAACATTGTCTTGAAGGATATTGCTGTCCCCGCTGGAGTCACTCTTGACTTGACTGGCCTCAAGTCGGGTGCTACCGTACGTCAACTCCTGAAAACCATCTATCGTGGTCAACCGACCACAGTCCTCTCTCGGTCAGATTAATTAACTAGACCAACAGGTTACCTTCCAAGGCAAGACTACTTTCGGATACAAGGAGTGGGCCGGTCCCCTCATTTCCGTTTCGGGCTCCAATGTCAACGTTGTCGGCGCCTCCGGCCATGTGATTGACTGCGGCGGCCAGCGCTGGTGGGATTGCAAGGGTAGCAACGGTGGTAAGACGAAGCCCAAGTTCTTCGCTGCTCACTCCCTGCAAAACTCCAACATCCGCGGCCTTAACGTGCTCAACACCCCTGTTCAGGCCTTCTCCATCAACACCTGCACCAACCTCGGCATCTACGATGTCAACATTGACGACTCTGCCGGTGACGGCGGTTCTCAGTGCGGCCACAACACCGACGGCTTCGACGTTGGTTCTTCCAGCGGCATCTACATCTCTGGTTGCACTGTCAAGAACCAGGATGACTGCCTTGCTATTAACTCCGGTACCAACATCACTTTCATCGACGGCACTTGCATCGGCGGTCACGGTCTCTCCATCGGATCCGTTGGTGGGCGCTCTAACAACGTCGTTAAGACCGTTCGCATCCTCAACTCCAAGATTATCGACTCGGACAACGGCGTCAGAATCAAGACCGTTGCTGGTGCGACTGGCGCTGTTTCAGACGTTGTCTACTCCGGAATTACCATGACTGGTATCAACAAGTACGGTGTCATCATTCAGCAGGACTACAAGAACGGATCTCCTACCGGCAAGCCCACCAGCGGTGTCCCCATTACCGACCTTACCGTCAGCAAGATTACTGGCAACATCAAGTCTTCAGGTACCGACGTTCAGGTTCTTTGCGGATCCGGCGCTTGCCGCAACTGGAAGTGGGAGGGCGTCAATGTTTCCGGCGGTCAGAAGGCTGCCAAGGCTCTCAACGTCCCGCAGAGCGCAGTTCAGAGCGTCAACACCAAGTTGTAATCGGCTGTTGGCACGGACTTTGTCGTAATATGGCGAATTGGGATCGTTGCGTACATGGTAGACCGGTCTTTTGGTATCAGTCTAAATGTAGCTCATGAACTTGCCACAGGGTGGTGTTCCAACACCAGCTAGCGACGAATTTTGTTCTTTTGTATGCAAATATGTATATCGTATCATTTTGCTGGTCACGATATGAACATATAGTTAAACCTTAAACCAAATTAAATATCGTTCATCTCAAGTGACTTGAAATTGTATGGGCTATGTAATTTCCGCGTCGCAACTGCTTGAAAGCTTCGTGATATCGCGAATTTTGCTTCGGGATTCGCATGCACTATCCGATGGTGACTGAAATCGCCAGAAAGTGATCGTTCACGTGGGCGATGTCTTGGAAGAGGATGCCACCCAGGACTGTTAGGTGCGGGCTAATTTTATTGATATCCTTAGGTTATGAGCGTTGGTATCTTTAGATGACTGGCTGCGCTATAATTTGGGTCAAGGAGAACCTCGTGGACTTGCTCAGATGCCAAGATAATATGCCGTACATGAACAAATCAGCTATGTGATTTATGGCCCTTCAGTAAGCTCCTTTTCTTTCAGCCCACTTCGGCTGCGGCGCAGGTGTCACCTTTCCAAACCCAGTTGCGCTGACCATGCCAACCTCCCACTTGAGTCCCTCAACCTTGGCGCCGCCCTTCTCCATAGCCCAGAGCGTGATGCCGAGATGGTTGGAGCCCTGGTAGTTGAGGATGCCCTCAGGGATGGGGAAGCGAGCTTGCGGGCCGACATGGTGAACAAATTTGCCAAATTGGTATCCGTTCACAAAGATCTGAGCGCGGTACGCCGCGGCTGTGGTGTTGGCAAAAGTCAGAGACAGCGGGATGTCGAAGCCAGTGGGGAGGTCGAGGTCAAAAGTCGCAGAGTAATAGGCAATTCCGGCCTTTTCAATTCCCGCGGAGGGGCCCTTGCTGTCTTCCCAGGAGGCCGACGGAGGTTGGGGCCAGTGGTATCCCTGTCGCTCGATGAAGAGGCCGCCTTCGTTGAGAGGGCCGCGTTCTCCGTCGGCGTAGTCCTCGCCGCCCAGGTTGCCGGTGATCTTCCACTTGATATCAGATTGCTCGTGACCTGCAAGGTTGTAGTTGAGGATGCCGCGGGGGTTCTTCTGCTGCTCTTCGCCGACGACCCAGTTGCCGTTCAGACCCATATGGTCAACGACGACTGTGAAGACGTAATCCTTGTCTTTGGTCAATTTAGGCAGGGCGAAAGTGCTGTTGTAGGCGGGAGACACGGCGTTTCCGACCCAGGAACCGATGAACTCCTCATTCAGCCACACTGAAGCACCATAAGCGTTGCCTCCTTGGGTGGTGATATTGAAAGTCGTTTCATCGCCGTTGGCAGTGAAGTGACCGCGATAGAGAAGCGAGCTGGTGTGGTAGCCGTAGTCTCCACCGTACAAGCTGGCGGGAGTCTTGAGAGGGTTCGCGGTGTTGTACGTCTTCTCGAGGTCCGCGGCCGTCCATAACTCATCAGAGTAGTCTGACTTGATCTCTGGCAAACTGTCGATATACTTCCAGCTGAGTTGACTGATGCACGGAAGCTTGATCTCCGGAGTGGAGAAGTCGACCTTGGCTGTCACAGCTCCGTGGTCATTCTGCTTGAAGTCAAGAGACTTACCGTTGAAGTTCAGAGTCTTCAGAGACGATGGGGCACCACCGATAATCTCGATGGTGGTTGTGATGTTAACGTCACCAGAAAAGCTGATGGAGTCACCGGTAACGGCAACATTGCGGACGAGATATCCAGCCTTGACGATAACATCAGAGGTTCCGAAATCACCGACCGCGGGAGGAACCCAGAAGTTGTAGGCCTCATTGCGCGCTGGAGAAGTCTCGGTTAGATAAGAAGACACATTGATGTTTAGAGACAGCTTACTCAGGAGGTACACGTAAAAGTTTTCGTGTACGCGGACGACCTTGCGCTCGTCCGAGACAGCCCAGCCCAACACAGTATAGCCGTCTTTTTGCTCAATAGTGACGTCCGAGCCCTCGATAACATTCTCGTCGGTGACATCGGCTTGTTCACCTTCGATGGCCAGCTCATGGTGCTCGTCGGCACCTCCGTAGACGACCAGCACGGTCTTATCGGCATACTTCTTCCTATCAAGAGGTTGGAAAAGCGTCAAGGATGCTCGACTCAAGTTGACAACTTACCATGTAAAGATCTCAGCTGTGGAGTATACCAGATTCTTGTCGCCGACAGGATAGTCGCTGACGTGGATCTTGGAGTCGCGCCTGGTCAAGTACAGGCTATCGCTGAGCTGGGGAACTTCCAGTTCTCCGTACTTGACAGTCTTGACCTTCAGCTTATACGCCGTTGTCTCAAGGGAGTCGTACTTTGTATGTCTATCGTATCATGCGTTAGGACTGACTAAAAGCTTTGGGTATATGTTCAGGTAGAGTATCGATATACCTCGTGATGTAGAACTTGGTGGTGTTCGTTGTTGCTGGGGTCACGGTGATCGCGTCGTTGTTGGTCCACTCAAGCGAGGCGTTGAATCGATCGGCCACGAGATAGGCAGGAGACACGTGAAGGAAGTTGGACTGAAGCTTCGTCTCGCTATACTTCTCACGGTTGACTAGACGTTCCTCGGTGATCTGAGCACCGTAGTCGTACGAGGTGTAGCCGTCGGAGTGTCCGAGGTTACCCCAATTCGTGCCACCCCAAGTCTGCCGAGTCTCATTAACAAAAAACGCTTGGAGAACCTACAGAAACACTTACCATGTAGATGTTGAAGATGGTCACTCCAACGGCATAATTGTTCTTGTACAGAACACGCTCGAATTCATGGTTGAGAAGGGCTGCGCAGTACTCGAATCCAGCACCTCCCCATGGCTGGAAGCCACCGCCTTGGAACTGATAACTGTCAGATTGTCTTACAACTTGGGCAATGTTGCCTTGGTATCACATACCTCAACGATCGTATACGGGGTGGTCGGTGCGATAGCATTGTTCGTCGTGAGCCAATCAGTAGGGAGGCCATTCTCAGGCCAGACCGTGGGGTTCCAGCAGTCGAATCCCAGCGGGTACCCATCGTGTCCATAAATATCAACCTTGGCGGGCGTAAGCGCAGTGATGGCACCGAGCTGCCAGGCCTCATTGTTGACGTACGGCACAACAACCCCGTGACTGCGGAACTGATTGTCGACGTACTTCCAGTAGTCGTAGTCGGGGAACGGGTACGGGTCGACGGCAGCGTTATATTCGTTCTCCATTTGGAAAAGAATGACAGGTCCTCCGTTGGTGATCTGAGCTTTGGCGATGATGCTTCCGAGGGTGGCAGTGTAACTTTGCACGTTAGTTGACAAACATTTATGCTATTGGCATTGATGCTGGTTGTCTTACTTGTCAGTTGCCTTCAGGTAAGCTTCGTCGCCAGTCCTGAGCGCTCCTTGGACTCTCTGGAGCCAACCAGGAAAACCTCCTCCGGTGACTTCAGCATTGATATACGGCCCCGGTCGCTTATTTCTTTGTTAGTCGTGAGGTCCCTGGGAAGACATTTGTCGGGTGACCTACAGCAAAGAGGTAGAGTCCAGCCTTCTCGGCGGCCTCGAAGAGTGGCTCGAGTGCAAAAATGCCCTCAGCGCGAACCTCACCTGGCTTTGCCTCCAAGAGTCCCCAATTGACGTAGAAGGAGACGGAGTTGTAGCCAGCTGCCTTGATCTTCTGGAGGATATCGAGCCATAGGGATGGAACCGGCATTCTACCGATGACTGTCAGTGATATTACGGCTTCTTTATGTCACGACGCCGGCCTACCTGAAGGCATGAAATTCGGCGCTGAAGATCATCAATCTCTCGCCATTGATGAACAAGCTTTTGTCGTCCCATGTCACCTACTTATGTCAGTCAACGCCTTTCTGGCCGCCTCATGAGGACACCAAGTAGAGCCCTATCGAAACTCTCGTCACTCTCAAAGCTACTTTTGAGATAGACTCACAATGTCTTGCTGCCTTCCATTGAGGAGCTTCAGATCCGTCCCAATGGCTCTGGCATTGATTCCATCGAGCCAAGCTAAGGCAAGTAGGGAAAGAGCCTTCAGACGCGACAGCAACATCTTGATTGTTACACCAGCAGCACACTCGAAATCGTGCTTGAACTGCAGCTATGTAACATCAATGGAGACGGTACGGGACAGGTATACGCAGCGAGGGACCGGTTGCTATTTGACGAAAGACAACAAAATTCCGGCCTGTACAAGCGACGGACCGGAAATGTCACCATCCCCAACCTTGAACTCCACGTAGCGGCGGGATCATCGGCATTGCTGGGATCTGAATGGCTGCGCAGCACCTGGCAACGCAGCATCCTCATTACAATTTCAGTCTCCCCCTCCCTTACCCCAACTATACGAGTATAAGGTTGTCAATCCACGAATGTGAGATTGGATCATAGGACATGACGTGCATACATGTATCTTGCACCATATCTGGCCGCCCAATTTGAATACATAGGAGAGCAGGGAGGGAACTGGTCGAGAGTGGCAGACATTGGCTCTTTCACCGCATCTCCATCCGAACCTCGAGCTGTTAATTCTTCCCCGCTCATGAGCCCCGCGTTTGTCGGCTAACCACCTGTTCGTCCCTTGTCTCCCAAGACGGGCTAAGACGTGGTAGGGTTTTCCATGCGGGGAGTTGCGCCACCTCCAACGGCCCGCATGTCCGGGGCAACCCAGGAACACAACGAAACTTCCGTCCATACGAAGCCCGGTCTATGAAGCTAGACGGCAGCGGGAAAATTGACCAAGGTTTTTGGTCTATCGGCTGTTGTTCTCAGGACCTGAGTGAGATCACCGCACTCTTCTGTCCACGTCTGCGAATTTTCCGGATTCCTTTGGGGTCGCCCTCTTTGATGGAGCAGTTGTTTTCGAATCGGAGACGATGTCATTGCATATCGCTTCTGAAAGTACCAAACACATTTCAGTTACATGCAGACAGACAATTGGAGGTCCGCCAAGTGTAGTATCCGGTAGGCAAATTACGTCACGTGGAGGCAGAGAGCTCATCGGAAACACATGCCCGGCGCAAAAGAGGGAAACTTGAAGCGAGCATCATCCGTAGCGGCTGGTGAATGTCAATCATTTAACAATGTCTCATTATGGCGTTAATCGCGTGTGTGTACTTGTCGTGTGAGCATAGGGCACGTTCTCCAAATGACCGACCCGAAGTCTTGTTATTTACATGAATTTCTTGACAATCCTCATGCCTGCTTGAGACCCAACAGCTCGGTAAGCTTAAGCATGCTGACAGTAACCTTGTTAGTGGTACTGGGAGGCAGGACGCCGGCACCCATAATAAGAAGGTAATCAGGATCCTCTTCCATGATCCGCAGGTTACGGGTGTATGCACCGGCCTCAGGAGAATCGTACGCGACCCACGCGCTCGGGTCGCCGCCGTGGCGGTTGATGAAGAGAGGAGCGCTGTTGCTTGACACCACAATGGTTCCGTTGCAGCCGCCGACAGGAGACCAGACGACGTTGGGGCTGTTGATAGGGGAAACACCGCCATTGGTGCTGTTGATGTACATATCGGGGGCGTCGGCGAACTTGCGGGGGTCCTTTGCGATGCGGTAGTAGATGGGGAACGCGTAGGTTGGGATGATGGGCGCGCCACCCCATTCGAAGGTATACATATAGTCGCCGTTGGCGAGTTGGGTGACGAAGGGCATACCGGGACGGTCAGTGTATGTTGGGTAGGAGACATCGGTCACGACGGCGGACCAGTTCTTGAGGTCTTTTGTGGTCTGGTGGGAGATCTCCTGGCCGTGCTCGGCCGAGCGCTGGTCGGCGTAGTAAAGGATGAGGTCATCCTCGAAGATGCTACAGTTGGTGTTAGCAGATCTAGACTAAATGCGTTGCGGTTCAGATTACTCATGACTTACAGAATGAAAGGCTCCCAGACGGGAGTCTCCTCGTTGTTGGGGATAGCACGACCACCGCGGGCGACGTGGGAGAGGAACTCCCAAGTGCGGCCTTTGTCCTGAGAAGCATACAAGTCGATTTGTGTCTCGCTGAGGTCGGTGGGAATGCTGTTACCGGCCAAAAGCACGGTTCCAGCAGGGAAGCCTGCAAAGTCCTCGCGGAGCTCATACAGGAAGGGCTGGTAACGCAAGCCCCAGTTGTTGACCTGGTCGTGGACCTGGCCAACTTCCTCCCACGTGAGGCCACCGTCTAGGGACTCGTAGATGGGAAACCAGACCAGGGGAGGCTCCGGTGAGTAGTTTTCCCAAGTTCCCAGAAGACGACCGTCATCGAGCTGGACTGTGCGAGGGTACAGCACGCGAGGGTCCGTGTAGTTGTCGGGCGGCTGGAAAATGAGGTTGCGCTCGAAGGTCTCGAGAGCAGAGGCGAATCCGCAAGTGAGGGCGCCTACGACGGCGATGAGGGCGGACCGAAGCATCATGACGGCTACTGCTACGACTCGACAATCTCTGCAGGATGCGACGCGCCTGGATACAGATGTGCGAGAACAGGAAGCCACCTTTCCCCGGACCGAGAAGCAAAGCACCTTTTATAAGGTAGCATTGGACATCACGTTCCTCACTGCTTGACCCATGGGGTCGGTTCCAGAGGAGTAACTGGTCAAGGGCCGATGACCATGGCAAGCTGCACGATGCGACCTTGCCCGAGCCATGAGCTTCCTCTCGGTTACCTCGGCCATGTGGCGACTTCCCATAATCTTCTTAATCCTGGCTCAGCTCCCCCGGACTGGAGAAGACTGGAGAAATATTATCGTTGGAAAGTAGGGCTTAGATATCAAAGAGGAGTTTCCATGGTGCGAATCACGAATCGGCCGCTGACTGGGAGTACCGCTGCGCAGCACCTGTATGCGCTCCAAACAAATAACCGACGGCCGATGATGATGATTAGAGTCGCGGGACTTGACGACAAGGTTGTGCCGAGATGGAGAGGAAATAAGATTGGGGTTGCGGGAGCCGGGCCAATGTTATCTCGAGCTCCGCCGTACAAACTTGCTCGTTTCCGGTGAACCCCAAGACCTCAAGCTGTGGGGTTCGTGCGGGGGAATGGAGTCAAGTACCGAAGTTGTTCGTGGAAGATGCGCACCAATCATTCCAGTCAATTCCTCGGTAGTGATGATCGCTCTTGGTCTAGCTGGACTCATTTGCCTATGCCTACATCTGGGCTGTAAGGCCGCTCTCGACGAGGGAAGAGGAGGGGGCTTTGTGGATTGCCAAGTTGGCTGAGCTCGATAATGTCCCGGGAACAGGTTGCTGGGAATGATCTGTTTCCGTCATTTCCCTACCTTACTTTGCACAGTCACCTCACCGCCCTAAATACATCCACCTGGAGTTGCGATTATGTTAACAATTAACAGGGAGTTGGCGGAGGTTGAAATGGTGTGTATTGAGTATCTGAATTCATACAGTGGATCCTTGTGCACTCTCCCTTGGGTTTCCTGCCTTACCTTTATCCCATGATGAGGTTGTTTTCTCTCCAATTTTTGCAAGACACTCACCCCGCCAGTCGCTCAAGCTTCTTTCTGATACCTTTCTAGTGCTGTCTTCCAGACTTTATCTCAACCCAGAGTTATTGACGTGGTTTAACAGAAGCTCTAGATTCCTGTAATGACGGCCGATGCAGTCCCTTGAAGCTAATTAATTTGCGTTTGCTGCGAATGAAGTTGATAATCCAACGTACTCATTGTTTCAAGTTTCGAGGGATGACGGACGGTCTTTTTAGTACTTATCACCCCCTCAACTACCTTGTAAGTAGGAGAGTGTGTCGATGGGTCGGCGAATGAGTATTGTCTATCTCAAGTTGACTTGGTTTGCTCTGGGGAAGCAGAGTCAATGAGCTTAATAGTGTCAATTTCAAATGACAAGCGTCCAGCGAACTGTGTGAACCATTGGGGGTTCAAAAAGGTATCAGGTATTTACAATGGAGTTAAAGAATCTCTCGGCTGGAGACCTCGGCGATCCATACCTGCTTGACAAGGTAGACCACCAACTGCTATCCAGTCTCTACTGTCACTGGTCGACTAGGTCCGTCCTACGTTTTGTTTTCAATTTAGGAGTAGAACGACTTTGATATTGTTTTGAAGATATTGATAGGCAGAGCTATCGAGCTTCACTCATGATTTGATATGAGACTTCGTGGTGATATGAAATCTAGTTCATGATAGAGCTCTATTCGATAAAGGGCTTATAAGGACTTTTTCAAGTAGTTCTTCGCATTAGGCATTAATGTGTGCAACCCAAAGTCTGGGCCCGCTGGAGTTTTTACGCTGATCCTCACGCCAAATTTGTTAGTCCTAGCTCCTTATGCCTAACCTGACGGAGGAAGAGTTCCCATAAGTCAGTTCTCATCAAGACACACATTGATAATCGTGTTGTAGTGATTACAATTTGGTCATATCATTTCCCACAAGCGGCTGACCATGACACTTTTCACTATGGTAGATACACTTTGTGCCCACGTAAGGTACGTTAGTAATCTGAAAATTCGGGATGGCAAATCGTGCATTGCAATACTCATGTGCTTAGGCTATCCAGCAATGGAAGCCACTGCAACCAGAATCTTGGTGAGATGGTGCATGGATACATCGAGTTGCGCGGAGTAGTGGTGCTCTTGTTATGTGATAACCCCTGAATTGCCTTTACCTTGGCGTGCAAAGATTGCGAGTATTTGATTAGAATGTCAGCCAGTTGCATAGATCACGCGATAACAGATGGCTGTATCAGGCAGGTCTGATCGCGCAATTTCAGGCTCTTCCGCGTATACGAGATCTAACTTCTCTTCATCTGGGTGTTGAAGATTGCGGTATCGGACTGTGACATTGTGATGATCTGGAATTGCACCGATTCGTAAAGTAGAGACCTAGTGAGGGAATGGTAGACTTAGCTGCCTATTGTGTTAAGAATCTTCCACAATTGTCATGCCTGGGCGGGAATACGAGAACATACCAGGGTCTGATAACATCACGAACAATCTCAAGATGCAATGCGACGTTGCCCTGCATTGGTTCAAATGTTCTCTTACCATGCCGCGGATTCCGCGGTAGTAAAGAGGACACAACCAATTTCACATCAGGTGATGGC